CTTTCCAACTCATGAAATAATTTTCAGCATGTATTCTAGCAAGGGGCAGCAAGAGAAGCAAGAATGAGCCCCCAAACATATTTTTCCATAGACATTTATAAATGAATAAAAATGCATTTCTAGCCTACTCTTCCAATGCTTTCATTTATCATGCATACCATATGTCTTAAGCATAGAAGAAGAGAAAGCAACCATGTTATGCTATATTCTGATGTTCAAGAGGACTATTTCATGCATAAATCACAAAACATACCCAAATCATGCTTCTTCATGCTTTAAAAAAGACTGACAATATTTTATGTCATCCGAAATAGTGTAGAATAGAGGAGAGAAGAAGAATACCTCTTTAGTGCAGATTTAAAACAAAGCACTAAAAATAAATTGAAGAAAACACCCCACAAAAATCCTTCCCGAGAGCCTCACGCAAATAGGCCCCACAGTTTCTTGCTCCAGCCGTAAGGGTGTCGAACAACAGAAAGCTGTAAGGGTATCAAATAACAGGGAGGAAGAAGAACTCCTCTCAAACAGCAAAGAAGGAGATTGCCTTTCCAACAGTGAAGTAGAGAGAAAGAAAACCCCAAATTCCTCCTAAAAGCCTTTCTTTCTCAAAGGCCTCTCTTTCTTTTCTCTTTCAGACTTTTCCCAAAAGAAAACAAAGTTCCAGAAATATTTCAAGCTTACACACAGGATGAACCAACCAGAAAATAAAATGGCAGCATCTCCCCCTCTTAAGAAAATTCGGCCAACCTTAGACATAGAACTAAAGGGGCTATTTTATAGGCAAAGAAGATAAGGGGACAACCACCTACCAGCCTCCCTGGTCAGCAAATCAGGTAAAGGGAGAGGATGAGAAGGATTTAAGGCAAGAGGAAATGCAGCCTAGGGCAGAGGAAGAGCCGACCAGGTGGAACTTCGAAGTTGGAGGGCTGTTGGTCGAGTGGAGCTCGAGGAGGTGAGCCACGTGCGCTAATGGCAGCAGAATATCGTGTGTGAGGGAAGAGGGAGACGGGTTCAGCGACCAGGGTCTCAATCGTCCGGGTCAGGTGCGACCGATCGCGGGAGAGGAGAAGCGTGCTCCGCCCGAGCGGCTTTCGGTCGAGGCAGAGGCATGTCGCGCGAGGGTAAGGGTCAAATAGAATTTAGGGTTATAAATCTTAATATTATAAGTAATAAAATATATAAAATATTTAATATTTCTTAAAATAAAAATTTGATTCGTACTTTTTGTTCGTGCGTCACAACACAACCAAATGGATGTTCATTTTAGCTAATTTTGACGTTCCAGACGCGCTGGAGTGGTCCGTTTCTCCGTCGGAGGCCGTTTTGATGAATTCATCAATTTACGTGCAAATTTTCTCATGTCGGAAATATGACAATATGAGTGTCTTTTCCTACTAAAATTGGTGTCCCAGATGTGTTGGCGCAGTACATTTCGTTATCGAGGGTCATCCGGAGAAGTTCGCATTTTCACCCATCCTTTAAGTTTAATTAAAGTCCAACCTCGTGCAATTTTGTGAATTTTGTGTGTGTATGTGACGATAAAGTCGTGAGGAGGTTTTCATAGGGCTTGAGGTCCTATTGGGAACTTCTCCGTGAGTTTTCACATAATAGCCCTTAATCGACCGGACATAAGACGATGATTTTGAGACCATAAATGCTATACATCACAGGAAAATAGGAAGTGTTTTGGAATTTCTAAAATGGGTGAGTCCCAATTCTAGTTTTCTAAGATGGTCAATAGAAACTCTTAGAGCTAGATTCTAAAACCCTAAGAAAAAAGAAATGACCTCTAAAATGAGGTCAACACCTCCACAATGCTAAGTGTTACACATAAAAATTTATATAAGTATAGGATTTCTCCACGGAGTCAAAAATACACATACTAGTACTTAAATATTGTGGTGAACCTGCATTTCTTTATATCTTCACGTATGGTGCCTGATAGGCGACAAGGGTGACATTGATGAACAAATCAATTCTTTGTTTTAGGTATAGAAAATAGTTTGATCTCAAGGATGGCATTGTAGTTCATTTTCTAGTTTTGTTTTAGGTATAGAAAATAGTTTGATCTCTTTAAATTTTAAATCGCGTCACTAAAATATTCAGTATTATCCAAGTGTCTCTGCCATGTGGAAGACTTCTTTAAAAAATTTATGCTTTCCCACTACATTAGTAAAACATTTATGGGTAGTGTCTAAGACACTGCGGCTAAGTTTTTTTTACGCAGACTACAACAAGAAAGTCATATTTGGGTTTTCGTTTATTTGTATAAAAAATTACAAAAAGATTTTTTATTGCATTAAGAAACATATTTATAGGTAATGATTTTTTTATTTTAAGATTTTTGACTTCCACTGCACCACAAATGTGTAAGGGTCTTTCCTCCACAATGCTAAGTGTCACACATAAAAAATTATAAAAGTATATGCTTTCTCCACGGAGTAAAAAATACACACTAGTACTTAAATATTGTGGTGAACTTGCATTTCTTTATACCATCACGTATGGTGCCTGATAGGTGACAAGGATGGCTTTGATGAACAAATCAATTCTTTTCTTCCCTTTTCTTTCTCTTTTTTGTTGCTTTTTTAATTTTCTTTTTTCCTTTTTTGTAAAATTTTCTATTATAGAGAGATGAGGGAAGAGAGAGAAAAGAAGAAGGGTAGTAGATGGTGAGGGTTTGAGAGTGGCGGAAGGTGGTGGATCTAGAGTGGAGAGAGAAAGTGGAGAGAGAACGAGAGAGGAAGAAGGAAGATGGAAGAAGGAAGAGAGGGAGGTCATGATGGCACAAGTGCCATGCTTGACAACATGCAGAGGCAACGAGGATTTGCTATGAAGGCGGGAGTGACTCTATGTGCTAGTGGGTGCAATGGTGGGGACAATGTGCAATGGTTGTGAGTTCTAGAATTAGAATGAGAGAGAGTGGGGGATTAAGGAAGAGAACAAGAGCGAATGAGTAGAAGAGGGTTGTGGGAGTGGTGCAGATAGATTATGTTAGTAATTTTCTTTTTTGTTTTGTCAGGGCGATATGGTTCACACCCCAACAGGGTGAGTATGAAGAGATGGGTTCGCAAGAGACATTTTATGTTGATTTTTTGAAAATCAAAGTTAATTGTGGCAGACGACCAAAATATTGTGTGAATTGACTCATATAATTATCATTTCTCATGTCTCAAATTTTGTGTCGCTGGATAAGTTCCTCTAAATATTTTTATGCAACGACTTATGCATTATGTGTGCTCTCTTTTGGTAATTTTTACATTTTGGATTCACTGACACAATCTGTTTTATAAATGGTTGACATTTGGTTAATTCGATAGCAACCAAATGATTCAAGCCCAATTCGCTTGATGTTGTGTTTGTAAACCGTCGTTTTTGTTGGTTTTGATCAAATTAATTGTGGATTATTATTTTGGTAGTTTTGTTGCTTTGAACTCATTGGCGTGTTTGTTGCACTGTTTGAGAAATTTTAATTGCAATGAAAGCACCTCGAATATGATTTACATAATGTCATTTTTTATTATTAGTGATGGTGATATTGATGGGGATGAGTGGCTTTAGATACCTCAGTGAAACACTTTAAATACCTCGGGTCAATTGTTCAATGTGATGGTGATATTGATAGGGATGTTATTAATAAATTTCAAGTTGGTTGGTTGAAGTGGAGAAATGCTTCGGGCCTATTGTGTGATGGAAATGTACTGCTTATATTGAAAGGAAAATTTATAAGATGGTGAGCCTTGCAATGCTCTATGGTGCTGAATGTTGGCCTTTAAAAGAGAAGCATAAAACTAAGTTAAGTGTTGCCGAGATGAGAATGATTAGGTGGATGAGTGGCTTTACACTTAGAGATAGAATGCGAAATGAATATCCGTGATAGGGTTGGTGATAGGGTTGGTGTAGCTCCAGTGACGGACAAAATTTGAGAGAATCGTCTTAGATGGTTTGGTCACATTGAACGTTGACCATTTGATGATCCGATTAGAAGAGCAGATGTTTTAGATTTGACTTATGTTAAGAAAGGCAGAGGTAGACCTAGGAAGACTTGGGCATATTGTGTAAAGCATGATCTTAATTTATTAGAATTAAATGAAAATATGACACTAAATAGGAGGCAATGGAGAAAAAAGATTCTTGCAGCCGACCCCGCTAAGTGGGATAAAGGTTTTGTTGTTGTTGTTGTAATGTCATTTTTTGTTATCCCAATTAGTCAAATCGATTGCGGGGGCGTCGTTTGATAATTTTGATATCATGGTTGTGTCGGCAAAATCCAATTCGTGAGCTGATGATTTATGCACACTATTTTCGGTTTGGATTGATATATATTGAGTGCAGCTTATATGATGTTACATTTGCTATCTATTTTTGACACCGGGCTTGGTCGTGCATATCGAGTTTCAAGTACAGATGTCAAACTAAGATGGCCATAAATCTAAGCTAGAGGGCCTAAAAGATTGTGATGGTTGAATATTGAACCAATCAAAATTTACGGTGCATTAATCTAATACTTTTTATTTACATTGATTTATTATGATATTTCTAGGAAAGAGCATTTACATACATACCACGCAATTATTATAAATTTACCTAGCCCTTTAACAGCACATCAAATCCACCACTATGACAAACTTTAAAAGTCAAGCACACCTTTTCATGTATAGGTTTATAACACTATGAGTGTTATAAATGTAAATGTAAAACTTTAGGTGTTAGATATGTAAATGGATAGGAATTGTTTGGTCTATGTAATTTTTTTTTTAGAAATTAATGTAATTGTATGTACGAAACCCATCGGAGTGCCAAATCCTTATTTTGGAAAAAAACAAATAAAATTACAAATCGGTAGAAGTGAAACTTAGTTCTTTCGACAGGATAAAAAAATACTTTTGTGTGTGTGTAAACTTCCTTTGTGATTGAAGTCCCATAACATTCTGTGATGCTTTTATTTTACATGCTATCCTACTCTGTAATGCTCTCTTTTTTGCTTCACTTTTGTGCAGGTTCAATGGGTCCCTTTCTGTAGAGCTTTCTAATAATCATCCAAACTTGTTAGTCATTCATAGGAAAATTGCGTTGATACTTGGGCAGTGGGTTTCTGAGGTTAGTTTTTCAGTTCTTATTTTATTTTTCTTTTAGCTTTTGCCTTGTTTCACTCTATTGATCACTATGGATTTTAAGTTTCACACTATTTATCGCTATGGATCTTAAATTATTGAATTTTTTTTATTACAATCGTTCTGTTTGGCTGTTACATTCTCATAGATGCAAAAGTTTGTTATTTTCTGAAGTTAAAATGCATAGTTCGCTCAACTTCTTTCTCTTTATTCCCTTCAACTGTTGTGCTATATTGAATTAGTAGAAGTTATTTATAGTGCTGGAGTGTGTTCTATATTTTTCTTCATTAGTTCTATGTAATTTGCATATCCGTTTTTAAATAACATTTTGATAGTTGCATTGTTTTCATTCATCAAGAAGTATGGACAATTTTTATTCTAACTATTTGGTGTCTGCTATTAAATTTTCGTCTCTATTCATTTTCATCGTGTGTTGTTTTTTGTGTTCTTTGTGTTCTCTTTTCCTTACACAACTTACCATATTAGCTCTGGTTTGTTACTTTTACTTCTTAATTTTCTATATTAGTTTTTATTAATTATATTTATTTTAGTGTTATCTTATTCCATCAATGATACATGCTCAGGCTGCCTAAGTTCATTTCTCGCTGATTTATTTTCAATTTGTGCTTCTTACATAATCACTGTCATATATTTCTTTTTTTTCAGGCATTCATTTATCTTTATAATCTCATTTCTACACTTGATTTGATTATTTGTGACTTTTTCTATCAGCCAACTATTTGATTAACCAAAATTGGGTTACGTCTGTGTTTTGATTGTACTTTTTGTTGTCTAGTAATCATGATGCAATTTTTTCTTTTTTAATCATGCAGCTTTAATTTTAGAATTTATACTCATTTTTTATATAATAGATTCAAGACATTTATGCCTGTTACATCCTTATTTCACTTGACCTTCTAAATAGCCTTATTTCTATCAATTTTTTAAGCATTAAAATTATCACGATCCTATCTGAGGGCTTGGAAATTTTCTAGGTGAGAGCGGGTCATCGAACCATAAAATTAAATAAATTAATTTCCATTATTAACAATTTATAATCCAACAATAAATTAAAAGAACTACTAAATATAATAATTTAATTAACACATAATTAGTTTACTTTACTGCTTGCTGACCTTGCCTTCTATACATATTCTTTCTTCCAGTACTTATCTTTTATTCAAAAGCTTACACTTAAAAAACTATCAAGCCAACTTAACGAGTTATCCAAGATAACCCAGTGAAACAATTGCATTTCTAAACTGCAATAACCCAATTAAAATATGTTCTAAAAAATAATATAATAAATTAAATCATATATTTATGATGTTTGCTCGTGGAAGAAACCTAAAATTTTATATTCTGTCTTTTGCTTTATTTTACAAAGTTTAATCTCTCAACTTTAATGCATATCTTGCTCTTAATTAGGGGCACCATTTACAAATAATTTTACACACTCCTAGCCGAAACATTCCTTGTCGGTATAACAGGATGCTGTCCAGGTCTACTATCGCCAGAGCTGAAAATGTATTTACTCACCCTTGATTGATATTATCCCATCGACTCAACGATACGCGATCTAAATGATCTAAATTACATGATTATTTGAGATAGTAGGAAACGATCTATGTGCACGAGTACATTTACATTTCGAACCAATACCATAGTAGAGTGAACTCCTTTTAGTATGCAAATACAAACATTCATATATACATTATTTTCGTTTTTCATAGCATTCATTAATTTCTTATGAAATTATTATTGTTGATTTACTAGTGAGTAAATGTCTTCTATACGTAGTCTAAAAATTATGTAGTAAATTAATGTCATTCTATAAAAATAAAATTATTGTGACACTATTTATGCAGAAATGCTTTCATGTGTTTCTCATATCTATCATAATAAAGAGTTAGTTGTTTAATTTCATTGATATAGAGCATAAAAGAGAAATATTGAAATCAGAAATAGTTTCAAAAAAAATGTTACTAGAACTTTAGTTCATAAGATATTAATATTGACTTATTGACATTTCAAAGTAAAAATAAAAATATCAAACTCTTTTCCTTTTCTTTCTTTCTCCTTCTATTCATGTCAATAATTCAAGTTTTCAAGTCTTACGAAGCAAAACTTCATTGATATAGAATGCAATATTCTTTATTCTATGTTTTTCAATTAAATTATTAAAAATACAAATGAATACTATTATGAATTAACCTTAAATTAACTCATTAAAAGATAAAATTATATACCCTACGATTTCCTTCTCCTTGCTTGAAATCAACAATTAAAATCTCATTTTATGAAGTAAAATTTTTCAACTTATCACTTCCTATCATTAATTAATAAAATCCATTATTAAATATTTATAACAGTAATTATAATAATTATCTTTTAATTCAATAATAATCATAACATAATTGTTATATAAAAATCTAAGAAAACAAACCTTAACATAGCTTAGAATCTCTCGACTCGATCATTTATTTCTATGTGAAATGTCTTCCCCACACAGTATGCTTGGGTTGACTTCCTCCCATAAGATACAGTCTCCCTTGCCCCCTCGTTTCGCTTTGATGCTGCTCGATTCTTTTTTACACATGACAAAACTTACATGCAAGAGTTGTTTGAATTCCCTTCTCTTCTCCTTTGCACTTGTGACGTCACCCTATGCTTCTTTCTCCCTGCACGAGAACTCTTCTGTTCTGCAAATGGGATGCCCATTCGGTGGGGTCTCCAGCACACGATTGATCAGCCGTTCTTTCACCCAGGCTTTTTCTCTCCAATGGACTAAATGCACCCCGAGTAGATTGAAAGTAATGTCAACTCCCTTGCTTCGCTCAAATGCGGCGTTGTCAATAGGATATGAAACCCCCTTCTACTTTCTTCTCAGTCACCCTCGCCGCAAACTCTCGCTCTCGTCTCTTATCATCATTGCCCACGCATGCGCCGACATCCGTCAATTGCTCCGATGCAATTCTTTTTAAATAAACTTGTTAGACCATTTTTTTAATGTACTAATGTTAGAATAGATAGAGATACCAATACCTTGAAGAAGACGTATATTTTTTATCACCACGGAATTTTCACGGTGTTTGCGAAAAAACAAGGTTTAGGGGTTTCACAATGCCTGTAGATATTTTCACCAGAGATTTAACCCCGATGTCGAAATATGTGTTAATTGTCTCCATAGATTGTTGGAAACACTCATAAATAGCACGGGTGGACTCGTTGCATGACTTAATAAAACTTGATGACTGGAACTTTTTGGGATGTAAAGCATGACAATCCGTACAAACCAGATTTGGACTGCAATTGTCGAGCAAATCACAAAAATATGTTGTGGTGCAAATGAGTTTGCATCGGAGCAATTGACGGATGTGGTGCAATTGATCTATTGCCTAGACATTGATGCATGTGGCCACAACACTGAGAAACATGATATCAAGCTTCTCCTCGAGCCTTGGGTTAAGGCCAACAAGTCTTTTTTTTTTGCATTGGGCTTATACCTACAATTGATGGAAATCAATTTCAAATAAACAACATTTTAATGAGATCATAGTTCAATAAAACATTTTCTTAAATTTTATCCCGCCACCACTCTGACACATCAACTTTTTTCTTAGCAGGCTCCCAGTCTAGTCCAGTAGCTCCTCTCTTTAGTTCATTCCATAATATTGAATATTTTTTCAGTTGATCACATTTGTTTTCAATTGAGTTTTGTCATGCAAACTACCTGTTTTATCATGAAAATTTTTGGTGATATTTTACCAACCTTCCTTGTTGAAGTGCGTAGTCGGCATATTCCCAATCTCTTATCTTTCTCAGACGCAGATTACATAATAGGATTCCTGTCTCCCTATCCTAAATAATAGATAGTCCACATTCTTTTATTTACCTATCTGATCTATAATACAATCAAAACATTTGGACTGAAAAATAATTTAAGAATATATATAAAAACTAAATCAAAATTCGGTGAAAAACAAGATAGTTGAAGTAGAGCTCGGTGAGATTAAGTTATCAAAGAAGGCTTTTTCCAAAATCATCGATTGTACAATTCAGTCTATAAAACCACGTAGTATTTGTTACAGGTGTGATCTAAGAACATGCAGTATATGTCGCAAATAGTGACAATTGGTGTTTGGTCGAGCCCTTTATTTATTTTTCCATCATTGCTCTACATAGCATTTCAAAAATGAAATGCTTCACACTCGCACATTCAGATAATCAGGTCAATGCAAAGCCCACGTGTGGAAACCCAACAAATTTGAGAGCCAAACACCAAACCACCAACGCAGAATAAATGGCTACAAACAAAGCACCATCAGAATAGTTCATTATAAGAAATATTAATCATTCTTCGAAGATGTGAACATAGTGGTTAGATTAGTGATTACATTCTTCTTTTCTCTTCTTCAATATGGAAAACCATTTTATGGAGAGTTATCAGCACTGTCGATTTTTTTGAAAATATTTCCACGAGAATTTGGTTTTCTGCTATTCAAATATCTTAGGTTTCATATTAAATCAGTAATTGCATTTTCCTTTCTTTTTCTTCAACTAGAAAATGATTGTATGGAGAGAATTTACGAGCAATACTGGTTCATTTGAAAATGTCTTGGAAGTTTTTTTTGTGCTAATGCAAATATGCCAATTTAGATGTTAGATCAATAATAGCGGGCCAAACATATCTGTAGACCTCTGTGAGATGATTAAATTAAAGAAGCCTCCATCCATTATCACAAATTTTATCATATAGACTACAAGATCGGGCAATATTTGTTGCAATTGGTGATGGTTGAGTCCTTTGATTTTATCTTCCATCATTGCTCTAGTAGAAATTATAAATATAAAATGTATCACAATAGAAAAATTTAATGCCAACATCGTAATGGGAATTTGCACTAATCTAACTTCTGAACACTTTAATATTTGCATCTGCTCAACACAATTTTTCTTAGATTTAATAATAAAACAAGGTTATCT